TTTCACTATGACATCATTGATATTGCTTTAGTCAGGTCTGACAGAGAAGAAAGAAGATAGTCAAGTCCTGGACAGTTCAAAGTTGAATGAATAGTGTCTGCAAAAGGCAAAGACAGAAGTATGGAAGATGTACCCCCTCATGTCTATGAACGAACATCATGGTGGTGCAAATCAGTGTAGCTCCATCAAAGTCAATGGCACTATGTTGATTTACACCAACTGCCAAACTGGATCTGTTTCTTTAATGAACAGCCTGACATATTTCTCCAGCCTTCTTCCTAATGGTGGTCTGAATGTGAATTTGATAGCAGCTGCCCATCCACAGAGATTCTGGACCTGTAGCTTCAGTGCCCCTTTAAAAGCTCCTAGTGCTGGTGACTGTTTGTACATCATCTACATTCCAAAAGAATGATCCCCCTTGTGATTCAGCAAAGGAAAGCATTGCTGGTTTGACATCCTGGAGGTCTAGAAACCCTCAATTCTTTTTTTCTCTGAAGGAATTTCCCTTTTTTTACATTTCTGACTTTTCTACCACTGAAGCCAGGAAGTTGTCTATCCATGATCAACAGTGACCAAAATTTGGTTTTCCGGGAATGTACTCCCTTCCCTCCACACAAACTCTTGAAGTCTGTAATTTGCCTTTCTAGCCTGATAATGTGGCTGGCAGATGCATCAATTTTGCCAAGTCATCATCTGGAAGGAACACTTTCTCTCTTATGCAACAGTCTTCACTTCCCCGCTGCTTCTCTCTCTCCCTTCCCCCCCCCCCTGCCCCCCAAATCCATTGACTCCAGCTTCAACATATTTCAATCAGGCTAAGTTAGACCCACCCATGGGACACTAAGCAAACGTGAGTGAGACCATTATGTCTGGTGTATGACCTGAAACTTTCAATTTCAAAGGACATAGTCCAGAAAATGTAGGGACCAAGAACCCAGGGCTGTGGTTTCCCTTTGCTTGGCTAAAGAAAATAGCTGCTGTCTATTTTTACTGAAAATGTGGTATTTGAGGCCCTCCTCACTCTGTGTACAAAACAAAAGACGCCGCCAACAATAAAGGAATGGGGTGGGGGTCACCGTGGTTTAAATCCATCTGACTGGTCTACAGAAATGCTCTCAGGGATTCTTCAAATATTTCGTGCCCACACAGCAGGAAGTGAAGGAAGGTGGAAGAAAGTTGTAATGGGAGGTGGATTTTTGGAATGTCATATCACCTACTGTATGCAATGTAGTTGTAGCCGTGTCCGTCCCAGGATAGAGCTCTGTGTGACTTGAAAGTTTGTCTCTCTCACCAGCAGAAGTTGGTCCAATAAAAGATATTACCTCACCCACCTTGTCTCTCTAATATCACCTACTGAAATTCCCCTTTTTCATTTTAGGACTGGGATAGAATCAATATAATTCCACATACCCTCGCCACTTTACTCCTCTTCTGTGCTACGTTGCTGTAAGATTTTATGTGAGCGTTGTGTAGCACACCATGCAATCAGTACCAAGATACTGTGATAGTTATGATGATGGGATCATTAGAAATGGCATAGATAGATAGATAGATAGATAGATAGATAGATAGATAGAACTAATGCCTGGTCCCATATTCCTTGAAGTAAATGGAAGTTTTAAGTGCTAGGGTGTGATTTATATCAAATCTGGTATGTACATGATCTTCATGTTTATGGAGATACAAAATGAGCAGCATTTTGAACGCTGAAGCCTCTGATCAAAAAATAATTTTTTTTCTTGAGTGTCAATGTTCCTGAACAGGGCAGATAAAGACTTTTGTCTTGTTTTGCTTATGCTCAAAAATAAACAAGTTTATAAAATGTGTTCTTTCTTGGTTACTGTTTTTTATAATGATTGAACATAGATTTTTAGAAGGTCAAGCAAAAATATTAGATGCCTCAAAGTGGTAGTGAATACAACTTGGGAAGAGAGAGAAAGAATAAACTCAAAGATCTGGTTGGTCGTTCAATCTCTAACTTCTTTGATCCTGCGTTCTTTTAAGATGAAATGTTATACATTACAAACATATTTCCAGGAGAATGCTCCTGGAATGCCTTATACTAATCTAGTACCTGTACTACTGATTACAATTCTCCATCTTAGGTACATGACACTTCATTCAACATGGCCATGATATCTGTGTATTCAATTTCTCCTGAACTTGGTGACTTACACATCTTTTTTCCAAGCCTCCTCTTAGGGATTGCTGCAGATAAACTGAACTTTGGCCACCCCAGTTTGAATCCATGGGTCAGCTACCACTCCTCAGCACACCTAATGTGGTTTTAGCACAGTAACGCTGCAGCATAAATTGCTACATGTGGCCCTTTGCAAAGCGCCTTCTGAGACATTTAATCCCAGCCTGGATAAAGCACTAGAAAATAGAGTAAGGAACAAATGAATGGAGTAGATGATCTAGAAAGTATTTTCCACCACTAACCTCTATGATTATATGATTAATCACCCAGCTTCCAACTGTTCCTACAGTTGCCATATTACAGCATTGTGGTAGTTACAAAGTTCATATGAGCTGGCCATTTCATTCTAATCCTTTCCCTCTCATATTCAGAATTTTCTCAAAATTTGACCTTTTGGGCTGAAATTTCTCATGCTCACTCTCAATCTGATGAAGATTTTATTTTTTTAATTTGAAAGCTTGAAGAAATTCCATTCAGCTCTTTTTCTAATTCTATACCTGCGAAGGGAAAATGTTTTTCATTTTAAATGATGCATTTTGACTTTCTTTTGAGCTCGGAAAACTCAAAACCAGAGTTAAGTCTTCACACTTGACATATAAGTAACCTGGAAAGCGGGCTAATCTGTGCTAAATTTGAAAAAAAAAATGGTTTTGAAAGAAGAAGTTTATGAACTTTTGAAAACCATGTGAAGAAACCATGTGCTGAGCATACGCAGTGCTTTGAGTATGCAGAGACATGTAATAAAAGCTTTAAAAAAAAATCTCCCCCATCATTGCTAACACTGGTGCGGCTCCAACAGTGTTAGCAACATCAGGAACACTAATGTAGATAAGCCAAGTATTTATTATTATTATTTTAATTATTTGTATTATAGTAGCGTCTAGAGGTCCCAACAGAGATCGGGGAGGACCCCATCATGCTAGTCACTTTTACAAACACAATGAGAGATAGCTCATGCCCTAAAGAGTCTTTAGTCTAAAAAGGCAAGAGCTCAGGATAGTTTTCGAAAGTTCAGAATGTGTTATTTCAAAACCATTATTACATGCTGTTAAAAACACCAGTAGCTGTGGAAGCCTTGTCTACACAAGCTCCCAAGTTGCTATCTCCAGGGGAGCTGCCCTAGTATTAGCAATACTGGGATAGGTTTTGGAGGAAAAAAGCCCAGTACTGACATCCTTTCAACAGACTCACATCTGATTATTCTCATAGCTTCCAGGAGTCCTAGATAAAAATAGCTGCAAAATTAAATATTGAAGAGACTGAAATAATCGATTAACAGAGCTGGCAACCGTTCTGCGAGTTCCAGATTGTCCTGTTTTGACCCAGGTGAACCCATGCCCCATGAGGAATACTCATAATGTGCTCACGGATCTTGAAACTTGATGTGGTTTCGACACAACTGGATAACATTGGTGGTTGCGCTGATGATAGACAGATACTGTAGTAAAGTATTACTAATGCTAATAATAAATAATAACAACAAACAACCCCCCTGCAAGTGATTCCCTCATCTGGGCTTCCGCAGTACAATCTTTCTTCTTACTTTGTTATTTGGACTGTAAACTCTTTGACTCAGGGCAATATTCAGTTGTGCCTTATGTACAGCGCCCAGTACGTTATCTGAGGCAGCATGACGCTGATGGATTCCGTGTGATGTTTTGTCACCCAGCATCACTGCAGCATGATGATGTTTCGAAGCGATTGATGTCTTGATACAGGATCTTCATAGAGTGACCAGATGTCCTGATTTTATAGGGACAGTCCCAATATCTGGGGCTTTGTATTATATATATTAGTCTGCAGAAGAGAAGAATGAGGGGGGATTTGATAGCTGCTTTCAACTACCCTTGCATCTGAAGAAGTGAGGTTCTTACCCACGAAAGCTTATGCTCCCAATACTTCTGTTAGTCTTAAAGGTGCCACAGGACCCTCTGTTGCTTTTTATCTGAAGGGGGGTTCCAAAGAGGATGGATCTAGACTGTTCTCTGTGGTACCAGATGACAGAACAAGGAGTAATGGTCTCAAGTTGCAGTGTGGGAGGTTTAGGTTGGATATTAGGAAAAACTTTTTCACTAGGAGGGTGGTGAAGCACTGGAATGGGTTATCTACGGAGGTGGTGGAATCTCCTTCCTTAGAGGTTTTTAAGATCAGGCTTGACAAAGCCCTGGCTGGGATGATTTAGTTAGGGATTGGTCCTACTTTGAGCAGGGGGTTGGACTAGATGACCTCCTGAGGTATCTTCCAACCCTGATATTCTATGATTCTATGATATAGGTGCCTATTACCCCCCACCAAACCTGATTGTTCACACTTGCTATCTGGTCACCCTAGGTCTTCGCAAGGCTGCAATGGGTGAGCTTGGGTCCACTGGGTGGAGTGAAAAGTCAGTGTCCCTTCCCACTGGCTGTGGAGTAGCAAGTAGCAAGAGACCATGACATCAGAGAGTGGAGGGGATTTCGGGGGGCAGGGGTGGACATGGCTTTCCAGTGCAGTGGTGGCAAAAAAGAAAATTGGAGGGGGGGATATCTTTTTTTGTTTTCAGTCTAGAGCGCATGGGCGGGGAAACAGCCCCCTCCTGCAGCAGGGCAGCCGCCTAGCCCACCATGGGACCCAGGGGGCTCCTTTCCCCCTCCCTCCGGCGAGGCGGGGCCCACCCGGGGCCCCGCCCCTTCACTTCCCGACGTTCTAAAAACTGTAACAGTGGAGCCGGCGCTGTCAGTGCGGCCGGGAGTGCGGGGCAGAGCGGCCGGGAGGCAGCTCGCTGGGGTCGGTGTTGCCTGCTCGCCCCGCTCCCCGGCTGGGAGGGCCCCCTCCTTGCCGCCAGCTCCCCCTTCCCCCTGCTCCGGCCCTGAGATCCTTGTCCCTGCTGCCCCCGTTCTCCCACCATTCCCCAGGATCCAGGCACATGGAGCTGCTGTGCGTGGAGGGGGGCCCCCGTGTGCCCAGGGCGGAGCGGGACCCCCAGCTGCTGGGGGACCGGCGGGTGCTGCAGAACCTGCTGAGCCAGGAGGAGCGCTATAGCCCCCGGGTCTCCTACTTCCATTGCGTGCAGAAGGAGATCAAGCCGTTCATGCGGAAGATGCTGGCTTTTTGGATGCTGGAGGTACGGGACCCCCCTCCCCTAACCCGGGTCCTACCCCCAGTCCCCCCAAATCCATCCTGGAGTCCAGCAACAACGCTTTTCCTTACCCCTTTGTCCCCACCGCAGACACCGGCAGAGAGAGAGGCTGTGCCTGCTGGGTGTGGGAGAGAGAGACCCACCCCAATCGCACTGGAGTGTGAATGGATGTAGTGGGGTCACCTAGTGGTGGGGGCAATTGGGGGGGGGAGATTTTTTTGGGTGGGGAAGGCATTCGGTTTGTGGGATCTGTATCAGTTGGTAGGGGGGACGCTTGGGAGAGGGTCTGGTGTGTCACTTGCTGCAGGATGAGTTCCAAAGGAGACAGTCTGATGGGGTGGGGAGAGGCCTCTGGTTTGTGGGGGTTCAGTCTGTGGTTGGAGGGCTCTGGTGGTCAATCTTTTGGGGGGATGGTTAGGCAGGGGGACTAGTGGGGTAAGAGGGCATTTAAAAGAGCCCCCCCCGGGGTTTTGTAGTGGTGATAGACCCGGGGTGCTTGGGAGCATGATTTCCACCTCTGCATATGGGGAATTGCAGCATTTCCTTCTGCACCGAGAGGGCCACCCCCACCCAGACAGCATGCTCTCTTCCACGCCCTGGCAGTGTGTGCTTTTGCCTCTAGGGGGTCCCACCCGCCTTACCCCAGGCCCCCAAACTGTCAGCTTAAACAGCTTAAACTGTCTGCCCTATGTCTGGCAGTTTAGAGAGCTGGAGTTTCAATGCAGCTGTAAGAGAGAGCCTGGGTAGAAAAACATCACAACCTCCCACTCCGCTAAATTAAAAGGAATGCGATCCTCAGCATTAAACAACTTAATGAGGAAAATATCGGAGATGTCTCCGTCTCTTTTCATAAATGATCAAGCAGTGAATAGTCTAGACTCAGAGGAAAATGAAATTACATGAGGAAGAAACAGAATCCAGATTGAATTCAGGCTGTCAATCTCTCCACCCCACTGGCTGTCGTGACAAACTGCGCGTTTCCATTTTTAAGCACATGCCGATTCCAACTTTTTAAATTATCCTCTGTCTTAAGTGCACTTTCTGAGATAGTTACTTGGCTAAAAGCTGCTTTGGGGCCTGATTCTGCAAGACACTGAACTCAGTAGGAGTTGAAGGAGCCCAAAGTAAACTTAGAGGCTGGGATTTCCTAAGGGTGCGATTTAATAGGATTTGAGCTATTAAGACCAAATGTAGGTCATATTGAAGTCGGTGGCACAACTTCCATTGACTTCAGTGGCAGCAGGATTTAGTTCTAAATGCTAATCTTTCATTTTTTATTTTAAATAAGGGTGAGGGGGAATGCAGCCAAAATTAAATCTGTGAAATGAGAAGTGAGTCTATTTTTTTTTTTAAAGGAGAAAGTCTCTGGCATGCGGTTTTATGTGGGTAGAGAGTACACAGGGAGTCAAAGTTACAGTTTGAAAGAGAAGGATGATCTTTGCTATAGCACAGGGGGAAACCTCAATATTTTTGTAGTTCTGTTAAAACAAGGAAATAAATATGGCCGGTGTATTAATAGCATAGTTGAGGGAATAGAACAAGGGACTTAAATTTAGGATTCCCGGATTCTGTTTATGCCTGTCATAAGTGTGGTGTAGATAGAGGAGGGGAGCCAGGAGTTTGAACTCGGGTTCTATCCCTGGCCCTGAGAGTGACTCTTTTTGTGATGTTGGGCAAGTCACTTAGCCCAGAGATTTCAAAAGTGGCCACTGATTCTTGGTGCCTCAGTTTTTGGGTGGCCAGCTGTAGCCACACTGGGACTGATTTTTTCAGAGGTGCTGAGCACCCCCATTCAAGGAGAGCAGGAAGTAATCAGCACATCTGATCATTAAGACCTAGATGCTTGAAGTTGGGGAATCAGAAACAGAGGCACTCAAAATCAGTGGACACTTTAGAAGATTTTGGTCTTTAACCTCTCTGTGCCTCCATTATACCCAGTTTACTATTTTCCCTACCTCCCAGGGGAAGGTGAGGCGAGTTCTAGGACATTGGGCCAAATTCCCTGCTGGTGATGTGTTGGAGTTAAACCAGCAGAGAATTTGGCTCTTAAGGCCAAAAGTGCTTTGAGAGCACCAGACGAAAGGTTCCACAGAAATGCCAAACACTACAATAACTAGTAGTTTTGAAGTCCTGATGCGGACAGGAGCTGAGGAGTCCTGCATTTAAAACACTTCCTTTCTTCTGTTGGGTTTCATCAGGTGTGTGAGGAGCAGAAGTGCGAAGAGGAGGTCTTCCCCTTGGCCATGAACTACGTGGATCGCTACCTTTCTTCGGTCCCTACTCGAAAAAATCACTTGCAGCTTCTGGGGGCCGTCTGCATGCTCCTGGCTTCCAAGCTGCGAGAGACCATGCCCCTGACTGTGGAGAAACTCTGCATTTACACAGACAATTCCATCACACCACAACAACTCTTGGTAACCTCCCCACTCTGCCTAATAGAGCCTTTCTCCCTATTCCCCAACTCTCTTATCCTCTACATGCTGCTACTGCTTGGCGACATACCTGCCCTGTGGCTCCTTCTGTCTTCCTTCCCCTGTTTCCCCAAGCACCTTCCCCCATGTTCTGCAAATAGCCTCTCTGCTTCCTTGCCCAAGTGGACACACAACCTTTCGGAGAGGTAGAACTGCACCCCTCACTTAGAGCCACCACCTCTGCCTCGGTTCCATGCAACCCTGGTGTTATTCTCCATTGATTGCTCTGGTAGGCAGAATCATGACACTGAGGTTATAGAAAACATTACATGTGTTAAACACACATCCCCATCACTGAAATTCACTGTGTCCCATGTTGGGGCTTTAATATGGTAAATAGCTCTGGATCAACAGCCCTGGAGAGACCAAAGGCCCTTATTCACAGAACAGGTACTGCAAAAGGCAGTGGATGGGGAAGGCACTGTCAATGTGCATATCTGCCCAAACCAGGAGGGACTTCATCTCTGGGGATGAGAGGGGAGCTGAGTTTCCATGTCCTCTCACCCTTGGTCTTTCTTCTGAGACTGCTCACAAGGGGGCCAGTTGTGATGAGGGACTTTTGTGACCTAGATGCCTGCCCACTGGGAGACCACGGTCCTTGGTGCTCAGAGACCAAGGTGGTAAGTGCGGTAGAGAGGGGCTGGGAATAATGTAGGAAAAGGTCATGGACTTGCTGCCATTTGGGATTGTGTGGGGGAGGACAGGACTAGTCCAATGGGAATGAAGTGAAGCCATTTTTACAAGGTCTCAAGTGACACTAGGACTTATTTACTTAATTCCATTGCTGCCCAGGTGTCCCACGGGGTGGAGTCTTCTTGGTGGAGCTCAGTCAATGGTGGAGGAACGTGAAAGGGCTTCAACGGTGTTAGAACATGTGCCCTTCAAGAGGAAACCACCACCTGACTTCAGTGTAACAAACATCCCTTAGGACGGTTTGTCTAACAGAATTTCCTAGGGTTAGTCATCTGCTGGTTAGGTTATTTTTGAGAAGTGGGGGTGGTGAGATGATGTAATAATGATTCGTCCCCGGGGTGGGGAGTGGACCCACTAAACTTTCAGGTGGGAGCTGATAGACATTTCTGGTTATTGGAGAACTTTTTTTATGATCATGCAAATGAGGATTGGGGGGAGTTCCCTTCACCTCCCTGCGACTTCCCCTGAGATATATGGAGGATTGCTATTGCTTCGGTAACACGGGTGGAGGATGCTCACAACCAGAGTAGGTGGATTGTGCCACATGTGATAGCCAGGTACGGGTGTCCACAGGAGTTGCAGGGGCTCATTGTGTCTGTGGAGTTGTCCCCATGGTTGGAATGCAGCTCCTTGCTGCTGTAGAGGAGGGTCCTGTTGGGCACGAAAACTCTATATCCAGGGGTTTCACTCTTCTGTAAATAAAACTTCATCCCTTGCAGCACTTCCTGATTCTTGAATATATTCCATGCATGTAAATCCCATGGATTATAGTGGGAATTATGTGCATAGAGTTCATTTCTGGATCAGGCTCCAAATTAGAGGCTGGTATGTGTGTGTGGTAATGATGGGGATTGCCATCTGGCAGAGAGACAGATTCAGTCTCCATTCACCCCCTCCTGCTCCGGTGCTTGGCAAAGGTTGGGGAGGCTGCAGGGGCAGCAGGCCAAGCACCTGAGCGGGGGGGTGGGGGGGGGACCAGTTATCTTCTGGGAGGGTGGGTGCATTTAACAGACGAGATGGGAAGGGTGTTTTTTTCCCCATGCCCACGGGAGAGAATGAGACGGATAGGTCAAAATGCTCCGATTCAATGGACTGTTTGTGTGGCTGGATTTAATGCTGGGGAAAGGTGCCTGATTGCCAGTCCTGGAGACCGAAGGTTGCTGTCCACTGAACAGGTGCTTGGACTGCAGCAAGGCAAGCTTTCGCCACATGTTGCCTCGTCTCCATTTCTGACCTGATCACTAGAGCTGAGATGGGGGTGCAGTCTTCATGGCCCAGGCAATCCTTCGCCTCTCTACTGAGCCCACCAAGTAGTGGAAGCTAGGTCGTGTCTATTGCAGTTATTTCTGTGATCACAGAGAAATTTTGACTGATCGCCACCAGGCACAGGTGTTGAACAAAGTTCAGGTTGGTTCAACTACCTTAAAGTGCCAAAAATCAACATGATTTTATTTTGCTGTGGGTTTGGGTTTTTTAAATTAAATTTTTCAGGCTTAGTGTATAACAGGCATTTCTTTTGGCCCTCCCTAATTGATCTTTCAAAAATGGCAGGGAGTTCTGTGTTTGCTTGGGCTGTGAAAGAGGCACCAAGTTTGAAGTTTTCCTTTCTTCTTAAACTGAAATGCTCTGGGCTGCACACCTGGAGCCATTTCAAGGGTTTGTAAGCAAGGAGCCTTGGGTAAGATGTGCCTAAATACACACACACACACACACACACACACACACACACACACACACACACACACACACACACACACACACACACACGCACACAGTTATAGTGTCGGGGGAGAAGAAGCAGTGGTACTCTGCCAGGTGCCTTCCACAACCCAAGCTCTGCCTACTCGTGACACCAAAATGAGATGCCACGCTCAGTAAATTGGGTGGCTCTTCATATGGCTGTACCCCTCCTTTCTGTCTGTCCATCTAGGGTCTTATATTAGCACCCATCACCATAGTATCAGAGTACTTCCTTTTGTGCTTTGCTCAGCAGTGAAATAGTTAACAGTGCTGACATTTACATTTTCACCAATAGGCTTCTGCGGCAATGCCCAGCTGAGATGAGCAAGAACGGTTTCATCCTTGGTGCCAAGCATCCTGCCTTATGGTGCTAATGATGGGCTTCTCGTGCATGTGTCCACAGCCAAAAGAGTGGAGCCTCCCATGCACTAGCGTGGAGCTCCAGGGGCAGTTGTCTCTTTAGTAATTGGGGTTCACTTGTTTTGTTTTTTTTGTTGTTTTTTTGGGGGGGTGGGGGGAGGATTGAGCAGAAGGTGAGCTGCCCTGTGGTTAGAGGCAGCAAGTGGGTCAGAGCAGTTGGGGGCCTGGAGAAGGACTTTGTCTTTGAAGGTCATTGGGAAAGAAGACACCTGTAAGGCTGTGATCTGAAAGTCACACCAGTCCTGCTCTTGGTAAACTCTGTAGCCCAGCTGGGAACAGACGGTAGTATGACTTCCCACTCTGATCTCCTCTTGCTGGGTCATAGGCTCCACGACCTGAGAAGGATTACAAACTCTCCAGGATAACCTTGGATGGAACTGGTGAGGTTTGCATTTGTGTTGGGATGTGACAGAGTTAATGCTCTGCTTACAAAACCAGAGAAAGCTGCTGCTTTCCTCCTATGTGCTAATAATGCTATCGACTTCTCTTCTTTCACAACAGTGCAGTGAGAGTGGGTGGGGAGGGGAAGGAGAGCTTCTTCATCACAGTTTGGACAATGGATACATCCTGGACTTTTAGCACAAATCTGTGCTTCCGGCGCACTCTCCTGGGCCCTTCTAAGGGAAGCTGGCTCACTTTCCCAGCAGGTTCACTTCCTCCTCTTGGAGAGGATGCCTGGCACAAGCTCGGCATTCTAAAAAGGATAAATTAAAACAAAATCTTGATGAAGTTATTCTTGGCAGAAGGAAATGATGCAAATGAAGGACTTGTCCACTTGGAGGAAGTTGGGTTTCCGTCAAAGGGCGTTATCTAACCATCTTTCTTTTTTTCATTAAACCACTGGCTAGAGGCTTTTCTTGCCTGTGCAGGATGGTACTTAGCCACAAGATGGTTGGAGGGAGCAGCTATTGTCAGCAGGTCATACCGTCCCTTGGCTTGGTAGGACCTGGTTCATGTATTAGCTGTACTGTTGTCTCGTCCTCTCCCTAGATATTGGAGACCATGGTTATAAAGAGATGATAGTTTTAGCTTCCAAAATAGCAATGGTGCTTCCTGGCATCTTGGTTGCCCTGAGGTTTCAGAGGTGTTAACGGTTTGTGCATAACCCATGTGCTCTTTGCAGGGCAGGAGAAGGGAGATGAGAATGAAGATGACTTGTGCTATTGCAACCCAAGGCAGTTTCACTTGGGCTGTTAGCCTGAAACTTGTGGGGTGGGAGGGAAGAAAACAATCTGGTTGCCAATGTCTTTGCCATAAAGCAGGAGTCTTGCTTTTGTCCTGGCCATCCCAGCTCTTGCTGCTCCAGCCTTGCAAAATCCATTCAAGTGTCTCAAGCAAAAGAACTTACCGGCATCTCTGCTGATTCTCCAACGTAGGTGGCAGCAGTAACTTTTCTTCCTCCTTCCCTCTTCCCAGAGTCCCATTCACTGATGCTTTTCTCCAGCTGCCATCTTCAAAGACAGCTCAGGACCTGTCATCTGGTACGGTACACTCCTGGGCTTTGACCTTAGTAAGTCTGACTTCCTGACTGCAAGGCATTTGTGGTCAGAATTCAAACAGGCTCAGTACCCATTTAGGCATCAAAATAAGTGGCCAGATTTTCAGAAGAGCCCCGCACGTTGCGTGCAGAGCTCTTCTAAAAATCTGTTCTCAGGGCTAAGCCCTTGAAAATATGGCCATTGCTGGGAGAGAGTTATTTTATATAGCACTAGTGATGTGTAGAGACCCATAGAAAGGCAGATTCCTCTCTTAGAGGAGCTTAGATCGAAGGGTCCAGTCCTGCAGGGTGCCAAGCATCCTCTACTTAAGCTCCCAAGCAGGAGTGTGCCCTTAGACAGATAACGCAATGAATCGTGCCAGCAGCTCATGGTAGGTAGAGATAGGGAAAGAGAGATAGCAGTAGACTATGGGAAGTGATGACTGCTCTTGGCAGAGCATTTCCAAGGAAAGCAGATCAGGCAAGTTTTGCTTTTGCTTAATTCTTGGGTGCAATGGATGTGACTGTTCTATGTCTGGGGAGCTGGAGGGGGGCAGAAATTGTTCCAGCCTTTGCTATAGACTGCAGCCTGAGCTCTGATCCTTCACAGGAGACAGACACAAACATTTAACCAACGTTTCCTATTTGCAAATGGACTTTCACATTCTGCTCATTTCAGTAATTCTGCATCTGTTGCTAAGTAGGCCGGGTGGCCAACTGCAGCTTTGGAGTCTCTTCCCACCCACTTTTTGAGTCAACCGAACGAACGGAGATGAAGGAGGTCAGAGCTGCTCAGATCTGCTGTTTCTAATGTAAAGTGTGGGTCTGCTGTGAAAAGCGAATTTACAACGGCACCTTGCTGCTCATCAGCTCTGCTGACTTCAGTGACAAAAATTAGCATGAACTTCATCTCCCATTACTCCTGCAGAGCCAGCACAGTGATGGGAAAGCGAGCCGGATTGGGCGTCTTGAACAGAATTGCTTCCTAAAGTCCAGTCATTTCAACTTATGCAAACTCATTGAAGGCAGTGAGGTTGCACAGGTATTTCTGAGGGTAGAATTTGACCTGCAGCATCCTTATTGTGGATGAAGATCTACAAGAAGGAAAGGACCCAGCTTGACTGTCAGATCCAGGTTGAGTTTGCAGGGCTGCAAATCAGAAAAAAAACATCTTTATACATGTAAGCACTTGAGCTAGAAATCACTGAGATATGTTAAACACAGGGTCCCATGAGGCTACGTGTCAGAGTAGAACCACAATTTGGTGTCATCTTGGCAGGAGAAGAGGAGGTAATGTACAGTGGAAGCTGCATTACTAAAACCAGTACTGGATGCAGTGAGGAGAGATCAAGAGAGCAGATTTGCTGGTGAAGAACCTGATTGTGTGTGCTCTCCATGCATAGAAATCCCAGCCAAGTGGAGGGGTGTTCTGCACACTGAGTATCCTACAGGATTGGGACCTGACTTTCTCCCAGTACAGAAAAAATGCAGAGCTAGCGGGGAAGTGTTGCTGGCTCTCCAGAGTGATGATAAATTCTGCAGTCTAAAGAAACAAAGGATAATTTCCTATGTTTAATTTTTTTTAACCACTCAGAGCAAGTCAATTAGATGCCAAGGAAACTCCAGGAAAAGGATGTTTGTGATCTTGAGAACATTGTCGCTTTGGTGTGCTGCTCTCCTCTCTGTAGCAGCCTTTTGTTGTGCTTCTTCTAATGATTAAGACATTCTGACACGCAGTTCAAAGCTGGAAGCCAGGGACGGAGGGCGGGGGGCAGAGAGAGCAGCGAGAAGTTTTTATTAGGCAGGGTGGCGCAAAGCTTCCGTGAGTCTGATCCTTTGAGGTGCTGAGAATCTGCAGCTCCAAGATTGTTTTGAGCCTCCCTGCATACCCTGGGAAGAGCTGCTTCTTTGTCCTTCTTGAAAGGACAGATTGAGTCACCCAGACAGGTAATAAAACCAGATCAGTGTCAGTGCTGCAGGGGGGAAATAACCCCTCACACGCGTTAAGCCTGGTGAGTCTAGGGTGAGCTCCCATGGGCCACCCAACTTTCTCAGCTGAGCTACAGTTTTTCCTGGTGGGTGGAAGGGGATGATCTCCTTCTGCCAAACATTTCCTGCAGTTGGGACAGGCTCCCTCTGTCTCTTGTTTGCGGTTGGTATGTCTTGTGTCTCTTCGGTGCTGGGTGGGAGGTCCCAGACTGACAACCTTTGAGGCTTCAGTCTCCTGTTAATAGAGTCATAGAGTTTATGGCCAGAAGGGACCATTAGATCATCTAGTCTGATCTCCTGTGTAACACAGGCCAGAGAATTTCATCCAGTAACTCTTGTGGTAAGCCCAATAACTTGTTTGACTAAAGCATATCTTATCCACAGAGCAAGTCTGAGCAGTGGCCATGCTTGCTTTCCCATCAGTGCTCCAACCCCAGAAAGAGGCCTTGGGCCTGACCTGGACAGTCTGCGTATCGGGGCAAGAGGGAGTGTTAGCTTCGGCACATCAGCCTTCCCAGCGACATTGGCAACAAAGGGATTTGAACCCTGATTCCCAAAGACTTGGATTGAACCCCAGTAAGCTCATTTCACATAGGCAGGCAGGCAGCCAGCCAGCAGGTGATAACAACTTTCAGTCACGACTGCCCGAGGCTGTGTTCTAATTAGCGATCGAGAGAGGAAGAGCTCTGTATCCCATTCCCGATTCCTGGGCTCTGCAGCAGAGGCCTTTTTCTGGGTCCTCTTGCTAGTCTTCTTCAGCAGCTCAGACCCCCTTTCTGTAGCCAAGCCTGATGTCCGTTCTATATTCTCCTGTAATACGGTGCATCCCAAATGACCTTTTCCTGTGATCTTCAAGACCTGTGGTTTACAATCAGTCTTCTCCTTGCTCCTTGCTTTTCCTCACTGCATTTAATTGAAGAGAGTATAGGTTGTTGAGTATGTGCTGTTCTTATGTGCTGTGAAGGTAGAAAGTAGGCTGGTCAGTATAAAAGACCAGGCAATCCATCTGGGGAGCTTGGGGGGGGGGGGGGGAGGGGACCCAACCCCCTAAAACAACCCTGATTCTAGCAAAATACCATCCACTGGCAGGAAATGGCCTTGCAGCCGCACAGTGATGATACTGTGCGTTTTGCCCAGCGTGCGATTTGAAATAGGTTGAGCAATGCTGTTGTTTAACAACTCAGAACTGGTACTGTTGTGTAAGGGGAAAAGGTGGGGTTTTTGTTTTTAAATGAGCTAAGCCAGAACCGTCTGAAAAATCAATCTCGCTTCTTCAAAACTGCTTATCCTGGCAGAATTGGCTGCCCGGTTGGCTTCTCTGGGGGCAAAATCAACCTCATAATCTATTGCCATTTAAAGATAATGGGACTTCTGGTAATAGGAACTACACTCTGAAATCAAGTGACCTAGTTAAGGCCAAGTGATGTCAAGAGGTAGAGACACCACTTTATTTGTTGCTCTTACGTGGCCTCCATCCCAATAATATCCGAGCGCTTCACACAAGCTTTAATATCCCTATCTTCACAACTCCCCTGTGAGGCAGGGCAGTGCTGTTCTCCCCATTGTAGAGGTCATCTTTCCTGTTGAGGTGGCTATGGAATGAAAGGGCTGGTTTGTTTTTGTTTTTGTTTTTTTAACAAAAGGAGGAAGTGACACCTATTGGCTACAGGAGATCCTGGACTGTATTCCTGGCTCTGCCACAGACTTGCTGTGTGATCGTGAGCAAGCCGCTTGACCTCTCTCTGCCTCATTTTCCCACTCTGAAGTGGCAATAATGCTCAGAGGGCTCTTTGGAAGCTCAGTGGGCATGATCCTGAGAGGGAGCGAGCAGCCGCCACTCCAGCTGAAATCAATGGGCGTGCGAGGGCACAGCGCCTCTAGGGATCAAGCCCAGAGTCTGTAAAGTGCTTTGAGATCACCTTGTGGAAGGAGCTATACAGGCCAGTGTTCGAAAGGGTCTATGTCATTCTGTCTGCTTTCTAGTCCTTCCATGTTTAAAAGTTGTTCTTGCAGCAGACTCTGTCATCCTGCCTCAGGCTGGGGTCTCACCAGGTCTTTTGAGCCAAGTTGGGTCAAGTTTGTTGGACAAGAGACCCTTCCGGAAAGGTGTCGAAGGAAGTGGTGTGGTGACTGGGTTGTGCTCTTCTTTACGAGTTGGTAGTGAGCCAGTGACCCAGCCTGGCGCTAGGGGGCATGGTACTGTTGGAGGTGCCTTAAGTAGACATCCTGATCGTTTGTTGTCACTAAAGACCCAGTGCCTTGTTCCCCAGTAAAACTGGATACTAAGCTTGGCATTGTAACCAAATTCTAACGTAATCCCTCAGTTAAACATCCCTATAGATGCCGCTGGAAAAGTTACTCTTCCTTTTCTAAAACTGCATAGTGTCGCGGTTGTAGAATGGCTTCTGTGCTCCAACCTAGAGGTGGCTGCATTTCATTAGGCAGTGAAGCAGTCAGTATAGACGGTCCAGCCATAAAGTGGTTAGAGATGGAGGGCATTAAGGTCAATGCTCCTGGGTGAATTCTGTGATTCTTACTCTGGCAGATGCCCATTACCATCAATGGGAGGTTAGGCTGAGTGAGGACAGTGCAATTTTGCCCGTAGGTTGGCTTGGTTTAGCTGCACACTTATTTTGTCCCTCTCTATTGTGAGCATTTAAACTGCATCCACTGCCGGAATATTCAGGGCTGTCCCTTGTAAACTGCTGTGAGCTTTCTTAGGTGCAGAACTTCTCCATGCCCTATAGCCCCTTTGTGCTGCACAGCCATGAGCCAGGGGCATCTCCAGCAAGCACAGAGGAGGTGTACCCATTTCTGTTCCCCTACTTCAAGGAGACATTCTGGGAGCGGAGAGGGGGAGTGGCCAGGGGGTGCCTACTCCCTGGTTATTCTGCACTGTCCCATAGGGGTTACTCCTCTATTGGTGCAGGTTTGCAAGTTAAGGAAAGTGCTAGTTAACCTGCACCAATAGAGGAGAGGCCTGTGGCTTCCTCTCTTGATCCCTACACAAGGCCGTGCATCAGTGCAGGCATGGATTTGTCCCACAGTCACAGACTGCGGGGAGATGAGTCCCCTGGCAGGAACTTTGCTTCCCCTCTTTCTGTCCTGCCTCATAGCATTGCAGCCTGGACGCTGTGCCGCAGGGCTGGCTCCTCCCCAAGCACCGTGCTTACACGCTCTCGGCTCTCGCTAACTCTCTCCGTGGCAAAGCACTTTCTGTACAGAAAGGTCTGACCTGTTTGTGTAACACTCGCTCTCTGTCCCCTACTCAGGACTGTGAGGTCCTTGTCCTTGAGAAGCTAAAGTGGGACCTGGTGTCAGTGATAGCGAACGACTTCTTGGCTCACATCCTCTATCGGCTCCCGCTGCCCACAGACAAGGTAGAGCTGGTGAAGAAGCACGCACAGACCTTCATCGCCTTGTGTGCCACAGGTAAGGGGCTGCTTGTTGCACTGGGGGCAGCAGAGCTGTCTCATTAGGACTGGCCAGGCTAGAGCAAGCAGCAAGGGCGGGCTGGTGGTTACATCACAGGACTGGGAGCTGGGTAACCTGGTTCTGATTCCTGGCTCTGCCATTCTGGCTTGCTGGGCAAGTCACTTGGGGTCTGATTTCTAGAGAGGCTCCGCACCTACATTTGCTGGGGAAATCAAGGCCCTTAACCTCTCAGTGAGTTCATCTCCCTGTCTGAAAAACTGGGGATGATAATGCACGGGGTTGCGAGGCTGAGCACACTAATGTTTGTAAATTGCCTTGAGATCCTCGGCTGGAAGCCGCTACAGAAGCGCAAAGCCCCAGTAAGAATATTATTACAATGGCTAAAGCCTGGCATGGTGCAGTCAGCTGTCCATGGTCAGCGTCAGCTCTTACCGCGCAGCCGGGCCTCTTAAGTGGCGAGAACGGCACAAACCCACCACTCCTGAGCGTGCCCCACCACCTGGCCCCTTGGCTCTAGGCCAGAATTCTAATGTCAGATTCCAAAAGTTAGAGATGGCAAAGGCTTGTTGGGGCTTCCCAGGCCAGTGCAGCATCACTCCCTGCTGGGTGCTCTCCAGTCTAGATCTAACCACCCAAGCAATGCAGTTTCCAGCACTTCCCCGGCAGAGACTGTTCCATGGGCTGAGATCTCCGTGCATTCCTGACATTCAGCCTACGCTTGCCTTTGCTTAGGGCTTGTCTACGCGGAGACTTACTCCAGAATAGCTATAGCGCTTTAAATTCACACCCTGCCTTATTGCGGAATAACTTCCCTGTGTAGACAAGCCTCTAGTTTTACCCCTTTTTCCTAGTCCTATCTACTGCACCACTCTAAGCCATTTGGGGGGGGAGGGATAGCTCAGTGGTTTGAGTATTGGCCAGCTAAACCCAGGGTTGTGAGTTCAATCCTTGAGGGGGCCATTTAGGGATCTGGGGCAAAAATCTGTCTGGGGATTGGTCCTGCTTTGAGCAGCGGGTTGGACTAGATGTGGTCCCTTCCAACCTTTATATTCTATGTCTCTTCCTGCCTTGGACTGCAGACACTCGTTAGCTTTACAAGGTTGCTGCAGGACGCAGCCACGTTCACAAGGATCCTTGCTAACATTCCTTACTCCATTCCCTGCCTGCCTTGTAGATTACACCTTTGCTATGTACCCTCCGTCCATGATTGCAACGGGCAGCATTGGCGCAGCGATTCACGGCCTGTCTGTCTCGGCTAACTCTTTCTCCGGCGAAGCACTCACGGAGCTGCTGGCCAGCATTACTGGCACAGAGGTGGTAAGTACTGGTTTGGGGGAAGCGTGGCACAGAGGTCTGGGACTCGGGACTGAGGATTCGGTTGCTGGACTCACTGCATGTCCTTGGGCATTTCAGTTCCCCTCTCTGTGCCTCAGTTTCCTCATCTGTAAAATGGACACCAGAATGATGCTCACCTACCTGTGTAAAGGGCCTGGGGATCATTAGCTGGAAGGTGCTTTATAATGCAAGATAGTATTTACTATCTCTGCCCAGGCACTGCCAAGCTGATCAGACCACTGGATGTTGGTGTTCTGGGATGGGGAGACCACCAGGAATCTGTTTTGGGATAGAGTTGGAATCTAAGTGAGAAGGCAGCACAGGGGCTGAGAGATTATGCCAGGGGAGGTCTGTCACTGTCACCCTGTTGGGTAGTTGCATTAAGCTAGATCTAGAGAGTCCCAGGGCATTTGTGCTTATTCCTAGCCTCCCAGCAGAGGTGCATGGGATGGGGCTTAAGGCAGAGGAGAGGCTGCATACATACGTTGGGGAGAGAAGCTTGTGTCCTCAGGAATGGCCAGGCAGGGATCGGAGAAGTAGCTGCTCAAGCAGGCACCTGCCAAGAAGTGTTACAGGGCTTCAGTGCCCAGGCCTGAAGTCTCAAGTCGCATTCTGCAGGGAGGGAGGGATATTTCTCTTTCTCACAGTCAGGTTTGGGGTCTAGGTCTCCTTTATTCTCCAGCTTCAAATATAGGGGTTGCTCACCCTCCTCCCCCCATAAGTGACCTTCAAAGTAGAGAAGGGACAGGGCTTGGCTGTAATGGAACGAAACAGGATTCTTCACTGAGGCTGCTGGACACAGGCAGACCCTGTAAGTTCTCTCCAGCTCCCAGACTAACTTGGTCTATCCTGCCTAGTGTCCTCACGCAAGCTCTCCCTAGGTCCTGGCCTGGACTAAGCAGTCATGGAAGGGATGCTGACTACATTATACCACCCAAATGTCCAGACTGTGGTAACCCTCTGAGTGTTTTTGTTATTGGAGTCCCCAGTCTCTCCCTGAGCGCGGTACTACAGCGTCTGGTTTGCCCGCCCCCAGGGCTGCTTCAGCCTCCCACGGTCTGCTCCTTCTCTCCTTGCTGCTGGAATTACAATGCCAGGAGGGGCTGCTGTGTGGCCTCCTGCAGACTGCTGTATATGGCTCCCGTCTCGTCAGCACCATCCTCTCCTCCCCAGCTGCTGACCTTAGACTGAACGCCTCTTCTCTACACACCATGTTGGCTCAGAAAGCTGTGGCTGAAGCTAGGCAGAGACTGGCTTTTTGTTCCGAGTCTGTACAGCGCCTAGCACAGTGGGGGCCGGGGCCGTGACTGGGGCACCTAGATGCTACCATAATACAAATAATTAGTAATTGTAATACATAGTGCTGGCTCTTGCCATGGCTAGGTAGGCGCAAGGGGCTGCGAATCTTCACTGGCCAGCAGTCACTGGCAGGGATGCCCTGGGAGGAAGCAATAAAGATCCCCCGCCTCTCCTGCCTCTTTCCGGAGCATAACTACACTAGCCCGAGGTACTTCCCCAGCTCATAGCATGCAGCAGGGTGCGTGGCTGCTGCATGCCAAGGTCTGTTCCATCACTGCCCGGTCGTACGATGGCCCGGATCACTTTCTCCTTTTGTCCAGCGTGATGGGGGGCGTGCAGGAAGCCTTTGAAAAGCAGACACAAAGGGAGGCACCCGCTCACCTGAGCGGACAGGTGTTAACGGGATCGGGTTCACGGGAAAACAGGCTCGGCAGCTGCTAACCTCGGCCAGTGTCCGATTGCTGCCGCTCTAAGCGTGGGCGGGAAGGGAGCCAGAAGCAGCTTGCCATTCCAGGACTCTTGATCAAAGGCGGATGTGCATGGAGCCGTAAGGCAGGAGTATGGGGAACTGGTCCCTCAGCACCTTTGGGGAGCAGGTGAGGGGCTTGAACTAGGATGGTTCAGGGTCCCTGTCTTCAATCATCCCTTGCTCCGAGCACTGGACCTCGGGAGCCCTTGTTCCCCCACAGCCCCTTTGATCTCTGCATCTGCCCAGGCACAGAATGCTTGAACTCTGGCGTGGAGTTAGTTACCCTCCCCCGATAGCAGCTCTGGGGAATTGGGAGGTTTGGGGCTGTAGTGGAGCCAGGAGAGGGATAATCATAGCCTAGCATTGTCAGAGGGGGGCCGGGCGGGGGGGCTCACTTTATTTGCTCAGTGGTTTTTGTTTGAGCCTTTAAAAAGTAACTTTGAATTGCCTGCAGCCAGCTGCTCTCAAGCTGCTGCTGTGAATGGGGCAGAGGCTGAATGCTGCCCTGTGAGCAGAGTTAATTGAAGCCCGCGAAGGAGAACAGGTGGGAAGCAGGGAAGATTTCAAAGGCCGGCGAGGGGGAACACAAAGGAAAGATTAGAGGGCACTGGAGTCGCCGAGGCCCAAAGCTGTTACTAGGCTGCCTTCCCTTATGTAACCCCATCGGTGTGTGCGCTCAACGCAGCCTTTTCTCCCAACCCCCTCCCGGTTTCCTTCCGACTTCTCCGTGCCAATCCTGTCTTCAGGGCCCATCTCCTGAGCTTCGGCGGCTGTTATTTATTCTTTGTATTACGGTAGCACCTAGGAGCCCCCTTCCTGGCCTAAGACCCCATTGTGCTAGGTGCTGTACAGCCACATTGCAAAAAGATGGTCTCTATCCCAAGGGACAGCCATGTCCTCTCTAGCTGGAGTAACCTTTCTTTGGACTACTTCCACTGGCGTTCTAATGGATGGGGCGGAGGGAGAGGTGAGGATGGGGGTGGGATTCCAAGCTCGGATTCCTGGGCCCCATTGATTCAGTCCATGAGCTTGGACAGGTCTCTTCCCCTTCCGGCGACTCAGTTTCTCCACTGCTTAAATAGAGGAGGATGATAACCTCCTTCCAATGGCCACTGAGGCTTAATTCATGAATGCTGGCGGTGCTGCAGGGGCATTAAGGACATGCAATGACTTACCGTTATGCAGACTGTGCTGCTTTGCTCTGTTCTGCCTCTGCTACCAGGCTGATAAATTCCTGCCATGGGTATCTGGGCCATAAGGACTCGGGACCTCAAGCATCTAATAGGTTCATTACTCCTGGTTGTATTAAGGTTTTATCTTAAGCGTGTGATCACCGAGGGGTTAGGTGCTGCCCGCTTACTACTTAACAAGTCTTTGCTCTCTGGTAAACATGCCCCATACAAGGTTTGATTCTGAGTGTGCAGCATTATCCACAGGGAGATGGGCAGGTTAGAGTCTTCCTCCCCCTTTCCTGTAAGGCATGGGACCATACCTCATTTTTTAAATAGGCATCTGGTGGAAGGTGACAGCCCTAGATTCTGGGCTCCTTTACAGAACAGGTATTGCGGGGGCAGGGCAAGCGTCCCACAGCATACTCAGCCAGCATGCAAGGCCCCTCCAGAGAGCCAGAGGAGAGCTCCCTCTTGATCCCTAGACAGTCCGTAGCATCTCTGCCGAAACCAGCCCCTTTGCGGGTGATTGCAGTGGTGGCTTTTATGAGATGCAGACCTCTGTCTCGGTTCCTAGTAGACTTAGCCGCCGAATTCAGAGAGGCCATCCAACAGTGGCAGCTTCTGGTTACTGCTGACCTGTGCTGAACTCGAACCAGGGTCTCCTTGCCTATCCCCCGTCCCTGCAGCCCATAGACATGGCCTGCCAGCTGTCCCCTCTCCTTCTCCTGCCCTGGGTATAACACAGCAGCAAACTAGCCAAGAGGGGGTTTAGAATGGCCGTTGCTGGGGCCCCGTGTACAGCTCTCTTCGCCTCGTTGCTGCGGGTAGAAGGCTAGAGGCTACGCTTACTGGAAATGACTTGGGGAAGGGGAGGTGGGTGTTGCTATTTTTGTTTGCCACATCCTCTGTCAGTTTCTAAGAACCAGTTGTGGATTCCTGGTAAGAGATTCTATGTGTGACACAATCCTGTGAACAGAGACGGCCCAGAGTCCAGCCTGGCTCTGGCCAGAACCCCAGCCCTCGCCTGTGCAAAATGCCACCATTCCTCATCAGAAATTGGGGGCAGAGGGCAACCTCTGCCCTTTACAGATGCAGGAGGCCCCAGACTCCGCTGCATCTTGTGCAGCACCCTGGTGAGTCACTGCAATCTAGTGTCAAACCGGAGGAGTTTCCTCACCCTGCAGAGGCTCTAGGGGGATTGTCTTCGATACTTGCCGTGCTCTGCTAATTAAAATCATTCTTGCTTCAATGTTTCCTTGAGGCTGGGCATTTCCCTTGCCCCAAGTACTGCACTGGAGCCAGGATCCTGGGCAGTGTTGCCAGGAGATGCAGTATTGTGCTCCCAGTGCATGAAGAATCTAGGAAAAATCAGATGAAGTTCTCTGATGGTATAGAAAGTGTAAGAGCCTAGTGAGGAGCATACTTCGTCACGTAGACGTACCTGCATCTTAACAGAGTGTTAATGTCCTCTGCAAAAACTGATCGCTTCGCATGAGACCCTTGGATTGGGATAGCTGACTGGAGTCTGAGAAGTCTGGGTCTAGCTTTCACGGAAGGCTTGGAGTTAAGTTGAAAACTGTTCCCAAATGTTCCTCACTTTACTAATTCCCCCCCCGCCCCCCCCAGCACAGCTTGGTCCTCTGTTGGAAATGAAGGACCAAGAACGGTGGGTTTAATTTAACTCCATGGTGATTTGGGGCCCTACCAGAGCTTAGGCAGCCCAGTCAGACACTGAGCACTCTGAAGGAGAAGTGGGAGAGAGAGCGAGTATGTGGGCAGTTGCTGGGAAGTCGAGGTGACTAAAGAAACAAGCCTCTCTTGAAGTATTGAAAAACGTCTCCGGGCGTTTAGGCTAACGTGTGTGCAGTCTGACACAGGTCCTTGCTCCGTGTTAATATAGGTAAATACCAGTGCAGGAACTGTTTACGTCCATTGAGAGAGGAAACAAAAGTAGGAAAAGCCATGATATTGTGGAGCTGAAGAAGGGGTCCTGTCTAGGGAAATTACCTTTCCAACCTCTCCTACTGCTCCAGAACAACCTGCACCCCGCCGTAGCGGGCCATAAAAGTGACCTTTGTGGGAATCCAGTAGAGTAGGGAGAAGAGGTGGAGTCACTGCAGAGCATTTTCATAGAAGGGGCTTAAAGAATAAACTCAGATAAACAAGTTGGAGACGCTCTGTCTAGGACTAAGCCTCGTCCATCCATTTAGATGCTCAGGCCTGAAATATAGCCCCGCACCTGTTTAGAGACATCAGCAGGGCTCTCTGATTTCCGAGAGGCAGAGTGGAATTGATGCCTCTGGTCTTCTTTCTTTCCTCTCTCACAGGACTGCCTGAAAGCGTGTCAAGAGCAGATTGAGGCAGCCTTAGCTGAGAGCCTGAAACAGGCTTCCCAATCCCAGCAGGAATACAGCTCCAGGAAGACTCCCGACTACCCGGCCAGCCAGAACGGCAGCATGACCAGCACGCCTACAGACGTCACAGACGTCAACCTGTGATGAACCCCCCTTCCCCATAGTCCCCCAGCCCCAGGAGAACGGGACCTCGCACTGGAGAGGGAGAGGCCTTGTGGAACCTGCTGCCCATTAATTCCGTCCGTCTGAAACGCACCGGGGACTCAGTCCACTCACCTGAGGTGGCAAGGACCCATCAGCTGTCCACCCAACAGCCCAGTAACATCAGAGGGGAGGTGGGAAGATAGGCTGTGATGACCTCGCAAGAGGAGGCTCAAGCAGGTCTAGATGGGTTGGCATCTGGCAGTACTTTGCTGGCCCTACTCTTAACCTGCCTCACCAGATGGTGGCGGGGGGAACGTTTTGTGGTGGGCGGGGGTTAAAATACATCGGGGGAGGGGGTGAAAGAGCTTAACTTCAGTTTTAAAGAGTTTTTCGGGTTGTTTGTCTGAAACATAGTTGGTGCACCGTTGCCGTTTGCTGTCTCCTAGGGAACCTTGGCCTCAAGCACAGCCAACCCTTCCGTGTGCGCACTTCATGCACATTAAGCTCTATTATCTTGGCTTCTGGGATGAAGAAACATTCACCCAATGCCTCCTGCATTGGAGCAGCCCTCAGTCCCTAGTACAACAGGTTGGCTTGGTTTGGGGCCGAGAAGACGGGTTGATGGGGAGCCAGCTGGAGGAAAATAAGAGGAGCGGGTGAATCCATCTCCTCACTGCTCAACACCAGGCTGGTTGGGTTTCTCCTACTGGGAGGGAATAGCAGGATTGCTTGTGTCATTGTTAACAGGGAGAACAAGGGTCTGGCTTCTTGTTTTTTTGTGCTTGCTTTGTGCAAGTGCTCTGTTTTGGGGATAAGTCTTAAGAGCTGGTACCGAAAGGTAAAAGCCCTGGGAAGAAGGAGACCTTTAGTGTGAGGCTCACTGGGTGTAGGGTTGGAATTGGACTCACTGCACCTGAACTACCTTAAATTGCCTTTGCTTTCTGCCATTCTCCAAGAGGCATTAACCAACTGCTCAGACAAGGGAAGAAGAAATGGAAGATTTGCAACTTCTTGGTGGGAAACTGGGTGCTACTTCCCCTCTCCCTTTCCAAACAGTGCCTTAAGCATCCTTCCACCTACCTCCATCAATCCGCTGTGCCACCAGGGCTCTCACGTGGAGATGAGTTAGTTAGTTCAGACACCACTCTTATTTTTAAGTATATACTGAATGTGCTGCTATAGTCTTAAATTTCGATGAACTCCTCCAGAAGGTCTCAAATCCAACTGGAAAAATAAAAAGCAGGAGGGTGAGGGCAAGAGAGGGGGCAAATATAGAGTGTTTTTATAGGTGATATATACACACACACAAAAAAAAAATAGGCCATAAATACTTCCAAGCACTTATGGACAGAGAAAAGATTTTTGTTGTTGTTGTTGTTGTTCCTGTTTTAGTTTTTAAAAAGTTTTTAAAAAAATGCTGCTTTGATAAGAGAGACTCTTACATATTACTATTTTATTCAAGGGCAGAAGCCAGCTGGACTCTTGTCTGCTAAGATGGGAGGTAGAACACTGCTGCTTACGTAGATTTCTGGGCACTGATGGTGTCTTACCCTGTGACTATGTCGCCCTCCAGGGAGGAGAGGGGGAAAAACTCCCTCCTAGGCTGCCACCAGAAACAGAGTCTTGTTTGTCAGGCTGCTTTTTCCTTCCACCCATCCTCCCACCGTGCCTAGCCTGATTTGCCAAAAAGGAAAGCTGTCTGCCACTGACTTCTGCTAGCTGTTAAAGTTAGGAGGGGATAGAAATTACATGATGTTTGGGGGCTGTTTGTATAAAAGGAAAAAATATATATATATATTAATGAGTTAATTTAAAAATGAAATTGTTTGAACTATCCATATGCAGAAATTCCAGGGCTAGGAAACCAGATGAAAGCATATGATGTTGCAATAAAAGACTTTTTAAAAAAAAGTGAAGCATCTAAAGTTTCCCCTTTGAAAGACTGAGTCAGATTATGTCTCTTTTTTGAGTGCCTGAGCGGGGCCCGGCCCTGTATACAAAGAGATCTCTGGAGCCAGGTTCTTCTACTCCTGACAGCAACAAAAACAATAGCTGTCTCTTCCTTTCTAATCCCTAGCCCAGAATTTACAACCCAACCAAATGCAAGTGACCTTGTTCAGACAGACATGGCTCACAGCTGAGGGATCCACAGTTTGACTGATTCCTCAGCTGTGGGCTAATTTGCCATGCCATTGTCCAGGAAGTGCATTGTTCCTGAAGGACACTGGGGAGGAAGCGAGTTTGAAGGAGGGAGTGCGAAGTGTCAGTAGGGCTTATATGGGAGAAGGTATAAAGAAGAGGTGGGGAGGAGCCAAAGAGGATGGCGAAGGGATAAGCATATATTGGATTAAGAGAAAAGCTGGAGGATGGGGTGGAAGTGGGCAAGGTCTTGAAGCTGAGACTCTAATGCAGGTGAGAGGGAACCTGGGGTGGGGGGAGATTTCAGTGGGGGTATCCTGGACGGTAGCAGCAGCTTGTATGGTGGCGAGGTGAAAAATCAACCGGCCTTAAACTCACTTGAGAAGCGGCTCAACTAAACCAGAAGTGTATATTAGAGAAAGACACTCCCCTACCCCACGATCAGAACCCCAGCAATAGGCCCTAGCGGGAGTACGTGGGAGAACCCAGGACTTGGGCACTCCAGTAACTCGGGTCCTTAATAACATGCAGGCTTCCACCCCTGGGGCAAATTTTGCGCTGTACCTTACTTGCTTTGTTGATGCACCTGTCAGAGGCTACGTGACCCCCTCCAGTGTAACGGCGTGGAGGTCGTTGGATGAACACAGTGCTCCAGCTTGAAAGTGGGACAGAGCTCAAGGTAGAAATATATATTTAAAAGCTTTTTTTGGGGGGGGAGAGAGGGGGGGAAGGAAGCCTGGATCAGGACAACAAGGCCTGGTGAGGGGCACACGGTAGAAGACTGTGACTTTATAACCATCTACTGACTCTCTGAAGTATCTTTGCCAAATGGTTTTCAGTACAGCAGATACAACTTAGCGTTCGCCAAGGAGAGTGAATGCGAACTACACTAAGGCCTGGTCTACACTAGGCTTTTATGTCGACTTTAGCGCCGTTATATCGAATTAACCCTGCACCCGTCCACACCAGGAAGCCATTTAGTTCGACATAAAGCTCTCTTTAAATCGATTTCTGTAATCCTCCCCAACGAGAGGATTAGCGCTAAATTCGACATGGCCATATCGAATTAGGCTAGGTGTGGATGGAAATCGACGGTAATAGCTCCGGGAGCTATCCCACAGTGCACCACTCTGTTGACGCTCTGGACAGCAGTCCGAGCTCGGATGCTCTGACCAGCCACACCCCCGGGAAAATTTGAATTCATTTTCATTTTCCTGTCTGGGCAGTTTGAATCTCAGTTCCTCTTTGGACATCGAGGGGAGCTCAGCAGCAGTGGCAACTATGCAGAGCTCTCCAGCAGAGATGGCCGTGCAATCTAATAGAAAGAGGGCCCCAGCATGGACTGATCGGGAAGTCTTGGATCTCATCGCAGTGTGGGGCGATGAGTCCGTGCTTTCAGAGCTGCGCTCCAAAAGAAGGAATGCTAAGATCTACGAGAAGATCTCCAAAGCCATGGCAGAGAGAGGCTACAGCCGGGATGCAACGCAGTGCCGCGTGAAAATCAAGGAGCTGAGACAAGGCTACCAAAAAACAAAAGAGGCTAACGGACGCTCCGGATCCCAGCCCCACACATCCCGTTTCTACGAGGCACTGCATTCCATCCTGGGAGCGGCCGCCACCACTACCCCACCCCTGACCGTGGACTCCGAGGATGGGATCATGTCCGCGGCCGGTTCCTCGTCGGACATGACAGCGGACGGGGAAGATGAAGAAGGAGATGAGGAGGACGAGGCAGTCGACAGCGCTGGCACCGCTGATTTCCCCGACAGCCAGGAGCTCTTCATCACCCTTACCGAGATCCCGTACCAACCGTCCCCATCCCTTACCCCGGACACAGAATCAGGGGAAGGATCAAGCAGTAAGTGCTGTAAACATGTAAACATTTATTTAAAACAGAACGGTAATATTTATACTATTAACAATGTACATTTATAAAAGTTCTGTAAACTAGTAAAAAAATAATCAGGTACAAAACAGGAATATTTACAAAGGTAACAAATGGGTTTTCATGATTTCTCTGTCTTGGGCTCTTCTCAATTTAGTCCCAAGTGTTTTAAAAAATTTTCACAATGTCCGTTACTCCATGATTCCCAGGCCCAAGACGCTCCACTCCATAGTCCCAGTGCACCTACGCGAAAATCCGGTCAATGTGGCCGGGGATCGACGAGAAATCCTCGTAGGAGAACTCCTCGTAGGTCTCGTGGAGGTAGAGCTCAAGCCTGTTGATCAGGTTCCGGGGTAGGGCGATCTTAGTGGGCCCTCCGTGGTAGCAGACATGCCCCCTCCACACTACAATCAAATACTCCGGGATCATGGCCCGACATAGCATGGCGGCATACTGCCCCGGTTTCTGCATGCTTTCCCGCAGCATGCGTTCTCTCTGGGTGTCCGGGATCCTCAGGAGGGTGATGTCGCTCATGACGCCCTGCTTTGAATTAGGGAGGGGAATGTTAGTATTGGGACTGCTTTACAGCCACGCGGTGGAGGGAGAGGGGCAGCATACAGGGATCTTTCCCTGGGACAGCCGCGAGGGGGTGGGACAGGGGCAGAGTTGATGCTGTCCTGATTGCTGGCAGCAGAGACTGGCATTGCTTTCAATGTGAAAGGAGGCCAGTGCTACTGCTGGAGTTTTAAGCAGCCACAAGTCTGCGGCTTACCATTATTGCCCGCTCCAGAAGTTCAGGTCTCCAGCCACAGTTCTCTGAACACTCCAAGACCTCCGCAAGTCCACAGGCACTGAAGGCGACGGCCGAAAATTCGACCTTGTCCTGAGTGCGCATGTGAGAGGTGCAGTGCATGGTCTTGTTCACAGAGAAAGACTAGGTTCTTTGTATACAATTTCATTTATCTGTCTCAGGAATTCACTCCCTTTTCACAATTCACACAGACACATCTGCGACTGTCTCCCAACCCAGCCTCTCAGCACACTCCCAGAGGCTAGCGCAGATTAGGCGGAGGAAGAAGAAGACGCGTGAAGACATGTTCTCAGAACTAATGGACTGCTCCCGAGCCCAGGCAGCCCAGCAGACACAGTGGAGGGAGAACTTGTCACAAATGCACCGAGCAGTCATGGAACGGGAGGAGAGGTGGCGTCAGGAGGACCAACAGGCTACTG